CTCAAACACAAAACGAATCCTCCTGTCTCCTGGAGAAAGCGACAAAGTACCCGAGGGAGACGGCGATGATAAGAATACAGTGCGGTCACATCTACTAGAAGCCGAGGAGCCAAATCCTACGTATCGAAGAGTTAGCCCAATTGAGGTAGAAATAATGCCTAGAAGAGTTGGAAACCCTTCCAACAAGCCGGAGATGGCTCCGACTCCATTGGAGAACTATAACCAGCCGAGAGACTCCCTTCGTGAACAGCATCCTTCCAATACATCCAAAATACCCTCCAACACTTCAAGTAGATAGTCGAGAAGATGCCCAAGAGGAAGCTACTGGCGAAGCTCGTACCTGAGTTAACTGCGCTGAAGCGTGAGCAAGGAAAGAAACAGCGGAGAGAGGAAAGACTTATGGACTGGCTGATGGAAACTGAGAGTCAAAAGATCATCGAGACACCTCTCTTCACGGAGAAACCTTCTTTCGAGTAAGAGGTAAGCAACGCTCGAAATCAAGACTTCAGGAGTCAGCTCTGGGGGCTTGATACTAAATTCAATAGTCGACAAGAGAGAAATCAGAGAATGGGGGTAGTGAAACAATCAACGTATTAGAAGTACCGGACAAATGAGACTCACCCGAACCGGCTGGCGTCGCAGCACGCATTCGCTATAGCAACGAAGCCAAGGTTCGACGATCAACTAAGGCGTTAGTACTTAGGATGGCGAAGGTCATGAGCTATAAGGACTTCAGGGAGCACGAGCGAAGCGTGCTGCAAAAGATGCTGCAAAAGAAGCCAAAGGAAATGGCAAATGTATTCGGAAGCGCAAAAGTGCCACGCCGGAGGCAGAGGAAGCCACCGCAGACAAGGCCAATCGGGGTCGGAAGCGCAAGAGCGTCGTACTAGAGGCGACAAACTCCGAGTTGCACCATGCCTTGAAGTGGAGCAAAAAGTGGCGGGTTTTTCGCCCGATGCGCAACCACCAAAATCGGCCATTCCTGCCTCTGCTTGACGAACACCTCTGTTGTGACGAACTCAGCTGCCTTAATATCACGGCCATACCTGAACGACTCTTTCTAAACGTGTGAAGTCAAATCCTTTCACACTGTTCTGCGCTCTGCTTCGAACGACGAGCCTCTACAATCTCTAATGCTAACGGAAGCGACGTTCGAGGATGCCTTCGGCGAGTTGTCATTGGGCGACGAGATGTGCAGCCCCTATGACCACACTACTGAGGTAATCCTAGATATAAGAAACAGTCGGCAAGGCAATATTTCAAGTCACCACGTCCGCTACCACACCCGTGAACAGTCGTGCATAACATGCAACAAAGCCTTCAACACTACTAAAGATCTCAAACGGCACATAGACTCTGTTCACCCCAATGATTTTACAAAGAGATATTACTGTAAAGTGGATGGTTGCAAATATTCCGAGACAATGCCTGGTTCAGCAGGGTTTACGAGCAAAGATAGGTGGAAAAGGTGTTTAAGGAACAGGCACGGCTTAATGGTGTGACGCGAGGTAATTTTGAGCAAAAATGCTTCTTTGGAGGGATTCGTGTTTTGAGTCAGTTTTTCAAATCATAGTTTACGTCTATTTCTTGAGCTTGTTCAATCTCACTGCAATCAGGCGGCAGCCTCCCAAGCTATCTCCGCCTTGTCTGCAGATTCATACCCCGCTTCGTTACAACTCCAGTGGCACAAGGTAAAGTCAAGCAATCAATATGCCCTAGACGAGGCCTACTGGGCTGGATGTACCAGCATTGCTATTCCCCTCATGGGTCTTAGGAGATTGGGATGGGGGTATGACATCCCCCAACTTGCTCAGATTCAGCGAGCAGACAATAAAGGAGCTAGAGCCACGAGAAACTTCTTTTACGACAACACTAATCGCGGGCACAATCGACGGACACAGTTTCAGAAGGTGGTGTTCTTCATTGAAGATTAACCGAATCATCAGCCTGGGATGCCCCAGATTGTGACTATGTAATGCTTTGGTGCGAGTGTAAGTTTCAAGTAAATGATGTTAAAAGCTAATCAGTTTCAAGACGATAATTTTGACTTTTTCTCCTTCAAGCGACCAACCCCTCTGACACCTCGCCCACTCATTTATTGCAGAGCTTCTACCTCGAGCACTTGAAGACATTTCAGCCATCAATAATATTCCTATGATAAACAGCACCCCAAAACAATCATCAAAACCCACGGCCTTTTGGGAAAGGATGCGATTTTGAAGTTCTTTCATGAAACGAAGTGAGCTGGCTTTCTTTCAAGCGAAGAGGGTGGCTCCCCTCGACTTTTGCAAGCTTCAATTGATAAAACTTAAAAGCATTTTTCTCACTCATACTGTATCTAAATAGTCGGGTTGGATGCTTGTGCAACAATGTCAAGGTCGAGTTCGCTTTGCTTGTCGCAGTTGAGCCGAAAGGGAAGGCTGGACGTTTCAAATCCAGATGGCCACGCAGAATGACTGTTAGCAATTGGCCCCTTGAGTAACCATGGACGCTAACCTCAAATAACCCAATCACCTCAAGCAGCCCTAGGATCTCATCTGTAATCCTTCAGCTCGGTAAAAAGCTGACATTTGCTCAAGTCCAGTCGTGTTCGGGTTCGTAGGAATAGGGGTAAAATTACTAAGCGACTCGGGAATAATGAACACCTGGTCATAAATCCTCGTATCCACTACCGGGTGATGAAGCGGCTGGCTTAGTGACTTCGCCACAGCCTTTAATGACCCGGCAGCATCCACGTTCAGTTAGACAAGGGCATTCAAGAATAAGTTAACCCAGCCCGGCAAGGAGTAACGCCATAAATCACACGAAGGACCTCCGAGGTTAGCTTCAACCCCAGGTTCCAAATGCAACCTCAATCTCAATCTCAAACCCCTCTACTTCTTTTTTTTCCTCCAAACGCAATCTATGTCTCAGCGCCTCCGCCACAGATCGCCCGCCTTTTTTCTTCAATGGCGGTTCCACGAACAGTCAAGCCGATCTTCACGGCAGGATTAATCTTCATCGTTTTCTCCGTTTTCTACCTCTCCTATGTGAATAACCTCCCCTACGCCGCACGCGCAGGCTTAATCGGCCACAAACACCCTCTCGCAGACACAGACGACCTAGGCCTCGTCTTCCCCTACGACCCCATCCCCCGAATAGACTTCGCATCCCTCTCCAAGTACCCACCGCACAACATCAAGGAGCCCTCAAAATTTGCCTTCTCGACCTTCTACTGCACGCGCCAACCCGACACCCGCGGGCCGTACTTCGAAGCTGCGCAGCAGATCATATGGCGTCTCCTATGGTCCCCATACCGCTCGAAATACCCTGTTATTATATTTGTGTGTCCGTTTATACCCGAGGAGAATAGGAAGATTTTTAGGGGGCAAGGCGCGATTGTTAAGGAGATTGAGCTGTTGGATGATATCATACCCGACGAAATCATCAGCACGAAACGCTGGATCGACGTCCTGTCCAAACTCAACATATGGAAAGAGGTAGAATGGAAGCGGATCGTGTTTCTCGATTCCGACGCCTTCCCGGTCAGGAATATCGATGATATATTTGAGGTTGCGCCGGTGCAGCACTGCAATCGGGAAACGCTAGGGCCGGAGGACAAGGCAGTCGTGGCGAGTGGTGGGAAGAGAGGAGAGGAATTCTGCGATTACGTTTACTCGGGGATCAGCCAATTCACGGCGGACAATATCAACGCCGGATTCCTAGTCTTGAAACCAAATTTGGATATGCATGCGAAGCTCATGCGGGCCGCGAGGATGACCGGCGACTATGATATCCGGTTCATGGAGCAGGGAGTTTTGAGTTCAAAGAATGCCTTCTCCCAAGAAGGCCCATTCCCAGTTCACAAGTTGCCGTCGGTGTGGAATACGCTGCCCGAGAACTTCATTGAGCATCGGGTCCCAGATCATGACGTTTCTAAGGGTCTTGAGTTGAAGGAGGGCCCGGTAAAGGTGTTGCATGCGAAGCTTTGGAATAAGGCTTGGGGAGAGTGGAACAATCTGACGGATTTGACGGATCTGTGGGATCGGGATTGGATGAATATGTGTCGATTTTATGATGGTGATCCAGGCTTCGTTGAGGCAAGGAAGACGGGAATATATAAGACGATGTGGGAAAAATTTATAGAGAGCAAGAAAGCTGAGAATGCTGAGGCGGCGACATAGGTTTTGTATACATACACGGCGTTGTAAATTAGGGGCAATGTTTCAATAGATTTCTAATGACACCTTAGCCACTCGGTATTTGTTTTACAGAATGCGGTCATGTATAATGGCGAAATTTGCGAATTCTCAAGGCTCTTTAATTTAACTATCATTCGCCCACCTCACGCCTCGAAGAATCAAGCCTCATTAAGCCGATTTGTCCGCCAATGGGGCTGGGCTCAACTTTCAAGTTTCTATGCTGAGAAATACATTATGCTGAGTAATTTTGAGCACGATGCCCGCACTCAAATAAGGCTGTGATCAGAAGTCTGGGTAAGACAGGGGACCGGCTAATAAGCGCCTAGAATAGGGAGCAATCGCTAAAGCCATAGGGCTTTATAGGCTACTCTGGCGAACTTTACGCCGTGGATACTTCGCGCAAAAATAAGTGTGATTTAATTTTGAAGTCACCCTGATTTCTAACCGCGGCCTTCGTAGTATGAATTAATTCTTTCTTTCCCTCTTATGCGTCACTTTCGGTTAGTGAGCTTGCCGTTGCTGCTCAGGCGCCAATCGCCCTGGGCTCAGCCAGCTTATGGTACTTTGAAAAACGCCCCCAAAAAATTCAACACTCTAAAAGAGCAAAAAAAGATACGCAAAGTCGCAGCTCGCTGAAGCCCCCCCCTAGATGAATACGCTGGACTGCGCTGTGTTTCTCGGTTCGCTAAAATAGTAACAAAAAACACAAAAATAAAAATATAAGCGTTACTTCTGAGACAGCTTCTGATAGCGTCCGAGACGTGTATCTACTGCAGAAACGGTCCTAAAATGCAAAAAATAGACTCCCTAGGGGTCATTTGTCCTCGGTGAGACTCGAACTCACGACCTTTGGATGGCCAAGCTGTGATCAGCTTAATCATACCGTGTATGAGACCAACGCTCTAACCAACTGAGCCACGAAGACTTATGAAAAAAAATTCTTATCTCATTACATATTAGTCAGAGTCATAGAGCTCCCTTTCCGCCTAGTGCTCAATCTCTGATTGGCCAGCCTTTCCCCTTTTCCAAGCTTTAAAGTGGGGAGCACCCCATCAAAATTTCAAGACCTAATAACTGCAAATATTTGAATACACTGTAATAGCATCATCATCATTGGCTTTAGCAACCACCCAATGAAGCTCAGGTCACCGAAAGCCTTCCTATTTACTATTATCATCGAAGACTCCCAAGTCAAGCGAGCTAATGGCAACAACAACCTTTCGCAATTCAGGTCCCTCGCATTCCATCTGACTGTTCTGGCTATTCTAGCAGAAGCCTTTCAGGCATGTATACTTCCGAAAATAAACCCTGCAGGGGTTTTCTATTTGCTAATCCCAGAGGTCCACTGAGGTTGTCATTATTGCTGTTATGGCACCGGAGAAAAAAATGAACCCATCTCGCTATGCAAGTGCTTGGGCAAGCACGGAGCTCATCAGTGTTATTGGCGAGTATTTTGCCATGCCATACTGCTCCGAGTTTCCATTAGCTAAGATGACATCACTTCTACCCGATTAAAGCCAGTCTTGAAATCGGGGTGACCGAAGAAGCCACCTTGGCTTTGTGCTTGATTATTAATGCCTCGGGGCTTGTCGTAACATGAATGCGAGATCATGAATGGTCGTTTGTTCATCCGCACCGAGGAATTGTATCAGCATATCTTTCCCGTCGCCGAGTGGGAGTGGGATATAGTATTGAGAAACTGCCGCTAGTGTTTGGACTCGTGCCTCTATTCGTTTTGTCTTCCTTGCAAGTAATGAGTCGCTGCAGGGAGTCATTGTAGGTGAGTACTTACATTCGTCAAAATCCAAGATCCTTTGAAGAATACTTGTCAAGCTTTTCGTCGCCTCGGTGCTGGGCCGCTGGCTTCCATCTGTGCGTTTAGTTTAGTTGTGTGCACCAATTGTCTTCTTATATCAGCCTTCATTACGTCTAGTCCTTGTCCAATGTCCTCGATACAACTTTGCATGGCAGATATTCAAGAGTCTATACCTTCGGCAAGGTATTGCGTCCTCCCAATTTCTTCTGTTCGTATCGCTCGCGGCTCCATCCTCGTTATGGTGGCGTTGGCTGAAGTCAACGCCGACAATTTTAAGTAATCAACTCGGCAACTTACAGGACGTCCTACTAAATTAAGACACCTTAAAACACCCTCCGGAGTTTGGGACAGCACGTCCGTTACACACTGCAAAACCCCGACGATTGACAGAGAGAGGAAAGTTGACAAAGAGGAAGAGGTTTGATTTTCTTTTCTATTATCGTGTTATGTTTCCGAGCCGGCTCACCGCCGATTTGCTGACCTGGCAAAAAGAAAAGGGCACACTTCCAGGAGTGGTACTTCCTCTACAAACAGCCTTTTCTACGTAAGTAGTGACACGCCCCGAGTCAATTTTATCTATCGAAAGTGCAAATTATCCTTTGATCCTCCCATATTCTCCAAGTAATATGCTTCGTGCTAGACATGCTAACATCTCATGATATCTAGTTACTTTGGCTTTTTATTTTTCGGTAGTGTCTCCTGTAGTGTTCGTTTGCTTGGTGAAGAGCTCTGATTAGATCCGTGGGGTGTCTCTGATGTTTTAGGGTCGGCTGAAAGGATGATTCTGAATTTCTGAGCCACGGTTATGACATGCATCGGTCTGCTACGCTTTGGGATTGCAACCTACAGGAAGTTTTCTGCTGCATTCATGTTACCATTCGTTAACTGAACTCAGTGATGCTATTTCTGATTTTCTTCTTTTCTTGCCAGGTAGTTCAATTTTAATAACTTTCCATATTGTCAAGAGAAGAGAGGATATGGAACAGAAGCCTTCCTTGCTGCTCTCGAGGCGTGGGGTGGGTAGTTTCCAACACTCGACGAAAGGAAAGAATCCAACGAGAGAGTTTCGACCTCCTTTGCCAGATGTATGAAAGAACACGTAACGTATATTATCACCACCGTAATTTTGAAACAGAGCCAACATTTCCAAGCCACGAACTTCCCTAACTTTGCTCTCTCTCGTATCTTCCGCCTCAAGCCATCAAAACAACGAAAGCCCCTAACCCGAACACAAGACCGAGAAGCACGATATTTCCACTCGTCTCGATCAGCGAGTTTCCTGCCCCAGTAGAATTAGGCGTCGGGGACGTCGTGCCCGAAGAGCTAGTGGTTGGACTCCCAGCTCCTGCCGACGTCATACTCGAAGGAGAAGCAGTAGCTACACCCGATACAGTGGAGGCTGCTGCGCCAGCACTTGAGGCAGTGGATGGCGGGGCGGGGGTCGCGCTGGAGCTTGAGCCAGAGCTTCCTACTGGCAAAACGACGCCACCTGAAACCTTCCCAGATGATGACGAAGAAGGTGCATTTCCCGCCGCGGATTTATAAGCAGCCAGGGAGTCGCCTGTTGAAGGTGGGTTCACGACGCCGGCCATACCGCCTTGGCAGTGGGTGGGTGTTGCGCAGAAGAACCACATCGGATCGGTGGTTTTCACTGTGACTTGGAAGACGCTGGCCTGGCAAATCATGAAAATGTCAGCCACTTGATATCTGGTAGGAGTCGGGAGATGACCTACGCTGCTGATTTTTCCAGAGTCAAAACCCCCGCTAGACTGGACACATGGAGAACTGAAGTCGCCTTGCACGGCACTGTGGATGCTGCCCACGAAGTGGAATTCCAGTACATCGCCTACAGCCGCGGTCACGGTGTCGGGAGAGAAGGCCAATCCGCCCGTGCCGGCGGTGATGACGATGGTTTTTGCAACCACAGTGGCTGCTAGGCCTGCAAGAAAGCCGATTGATGCATACATTGTTGTTTTCGAGCTGATTGGCGTTCTCTGGAAGTAATTGGAATAATTTTCGATCAAAGACTTGAAGCCAGGAACGACAGTGATGCGAGGGTTTGAGAAAATTTTGAGGCTGGGAAAACTTCCCGATTATAAGCTATAGCTTGTAGCTCTCCATGTAAGCCTCACGCAGAGCTCAGCTGGACAGGGGAGCTTTCTCAGGGAAGGCACGAACGAAAAGAGTGCGGGACAGCCACGTGTAACTGCTTTGGCCGGAATTCCGGAATATGCCTTTATTCTTCTTCACCATTGTACGTTTTGGTCTTGGCCCCGGCGCCTTGCCGTTGTGGCTGCCAGTTACGGGTCAGGTTTTGCGGGGTAGCTTGGATTTATTGGACAGCGGGGTGATGGTATTCCAAATTCAGGGAGCGGAATCGCTACTTGCCGTGGGAATGACAAATGAGAACACCATGATTTTGTTTTAGTAATCAAGAAATTGAGGCTTCAAGAGTGTGAACAAATCGGGGTGATAAACATTCTTGTTGTTTTAATGACGTATTGGAGCACAATGCTAGACTTCTGTCAGGGAAAGTAGATGGATGGTATGAAGACTTGCGAACAATCACAGTGTCGGGCTCCGAGCAAGTAACTCGCTTCTTCCGCCCCCAACACTTCAAAATACCAATATTTCTGCAAGAGTTATATCCGTTGCGACTCTAGTACTTTGAGTTGGATGCATTGATGCAACTATATATGTTCTATCTAACTCAAAACACCAAACGACTGCCGTGTCTTACGGAAGTTTTCTGGCTCAAAAAAGCGAGGCAAGCCCCTGAGAGCCGGAGTCGGATTGGGACAAGTACCCAGAAAAAGAACAAACGACTCGTCTCTCCCAGTAAGCCACTTCCCCAGGATGCTACTTCTAGTGGTCTACTGGAGTTTTCACTCTTAAACAGCCTCCTCTCCTTACAAGTCTATCCGGACCTCTAGTCAGGTTATCCAGTTTCCACTTGTGCTTACGATTACCTCGACCTATGCGTCGTCATCCCACGATGCCCACCCCACCGCACAACGTCAGCCATCTCAGCTCTACCCCCTCACACTCAAATTACTTTCAAGCCTTCGCCCAACTTCTATAGATTGATGTTAGCTTTAACCATCGATCATCATCCGTCAGAAACCCAACAGTTTGAATCTGATTAGGTGGGCCTCAGCTTTTTGATGCATCGTAAAAAAAAAAATTGACTTGCCGATTGCAGTTCTTGCCGCTGTAAGAGCACCTTAATTCCTGAGCCTAGAACTAGCATCATCAAGCTGGTTGGTACCGGGCTGCCAGAAAGAACGGGACCTCGCCTTCTTTTCGTTGCGTCGATCGCAGTGTGAGGATTTACGAGAGGGTGAGTGCGGGATGCTGAAATAATGCTGCTCAAATTAAGACGGTTACTGATCGCTGAAATAACCAGCCTGGGAGATAATTTAACCTTGCAATTCACTTTGAGACGCAACACGAGAGTTATTCAAAGTGTAATTAATTAGGATCATAAAAAGATGAATAGATTCTTGTAATAGCTACGATTAGAGAGATAAACACAGTTGTATTTAGTAATATGTAATTAATCAAGCTCTATCTTCAAAGGAACGATCAGGAGAGGTGTATCTGTTAAATTACCGAAACCTTATATGGAAGCTGATAATTGAAGCATTGTTACCAGAGAGAGGATGCAGATATTCATAGGTGAGGTCTCTATATCTCCTCTCTGTGCGAGTCTCTTCCAACTTTGACTATCTCGTTGATAAGCACCACCTGGTGATGCGAGGCAGATGGAAGGAAGAGTTGATATATAACACAGGAAATTGTTCAGGAATCCATGTGACGAGAACCTGTCTTACCGTGCTGCACACAGATTAAACCTAGAAGGAGGCTGATCCACAAAACACCCCTGTCATTCAATCCCAGGTGGCTGCGCCACAAGCCACACCGCACACTGCGGTTGCAAAGGACAAGGCTGTGCAGCGCCGTAACTGTATATACACGAGACCCGCCCCGCCGACTAGTTTGATCATCAAGTCGCTCTAGTCTGACCCAATTCGGCTTCGTTTCCCATTATTTTCCATTTCAATGGATATCCCGGACGTACCTCCTCCCCTCCCCCCTCCTGATGTATC